ACACTAATTAGTGCCTAATTAGCCCCTTGAAGTGACCCCAATACCAAATACATGGATAAGTGTGTAGCAATATCTCGTAGATTATGAAAGAAAATTGTGAGTTTTTAAGAATTAACATTGTGGGTACAAAGAGGCAGTGAAATACGCAGCCGAATAGAACCATTCAATAAGGCAGGGCAAACGGGGTCACTGTAACGGGCTAATTAGTCTTTAGCAGAAGCAAATAACATTAAGTCTGCCAGTATATCTCGTACATTATAAAATAAAACTGCAAGTCTTTGGCAAATAATATGTGAGGTACACTTTGTTTTAAAGAGGAAGTGATAATACGCAGCAGAATTTGCGTAAGAATAGTGCAGTAAGAATGGGGTCACTTTAACGCGCTAATTAGGCACTAATTAGTGTAGGGATGAAGCCAATACCAAAATTAAGTGCGTCCAGTAATATGCTCTCGTAGATTATGAAATAAAACTGCAAGTTTTTGGCGACATGTGAGGTACCCTTTTTTTCAAATGAAGTATTTAATTTTCAACATCTCTAAAAGCGTTGAAAAATTACATGAAATGTGATTATTCCCATTAAGTAGCTAATTTATAAGTTAGTATTGCATCAACCTTTTTAAAAATCGTTTTGAAATGGTTGCTTATTTTGTGAGTTTTGATACAGCGTGAAAAAAAATATTGATAATTGTCGTTTATTTTGAAAAATTCGTTCTTTAAATAAAGTAAATTATCTATTTGGAAAATAGATCACCTTTTGCAGCACGTAGTATAGATTTTTTTGGTGAATGCGCGGCTGAATACGCAGTTGAATATTCTGCTAGAAATCCGGCCGAATCCACGGCTACCTTGAGCTTGGTCAAGTTGCTGTGAAAAAAAATCACGCATGAGTGGGTTTACAACTTGGGCCTGTCGTGAATATTTGCGTCAATACTGGCGTGAATATTTGCGACATAGAGGCCATTTCGTGAATATTGGCGTCAATATTGGCGTCAATATTTGCGACTTGGAGACCATGTCGTGAATATTGGCGTCAATATTGGCGTCAATATTTGCGACTTGGCTCCATGTCGTGAATATTGGCGCAAATATTTGCGACATGGAGGCCATGTCGTGAATATTGGCGTCAATATGGGTGTTCTTCTGCCCTCACTGCACGTGTATGTGCGCAGCTATGCAGAGGTTAAACACTCTCCCAATGAGCCAAAAATGGACTGTAGTGGAGTCGGCAAATTAGCTGTTTATTGGAAGCGGTGTGAAACTGCAATTTAAATCATACAGAACACATTTTGAGTTAAAACAATAAAGTACAGAAGATTAATGGAGTATTAATTAGTGTGAGGTGATTACATGAACTATCTTAATTGACCACTAATGAAAGAGACGAAAATACAGGAAATGGCCCAAGGACTATGACAAGTCTACCCCAAGAATCCAAAATCTGAGAATTAACTGGCTGGAAATACCCCATTAAATAACAGAGAAATTACAATAAAGATTTCAGACATGTAAAAGTAGACAAATCCCCCAAATTGACATGAAAGCAAGATGAGAAGGAAAAACAGAGCCCTCAAAATGTCCACAAAAACCCCTACAAAATGTACATGAGACCGAACACGTTTATGTACACGTGTCCGTAAATAAACGACACTAAATTTAAGAAATAGCCCCCAAAAACCCACAAAACAGTGATCAAACTAGTAAAGCTTATACATTACATGATCAGAGAAAGATTACTTACAGATTGTGCTGATTAAGGGGATTGGATTACTGGTGAAACCTGTCGAAATTACTGATTTTCTAGAGCACGATTGTGATAAATAACTGATCAAAATGATGGCATGAAAAAATACGCATAAACGGCAGAGGGCGCTAAACACATTTTGGAAAGGCTGCCGAAGGCAGAACACTCCCCGCCTGGTATCTGAAAGATTCCAAACTAGAAACATCGAAAAGGTTCAACATGTTCAATGTGAGTGTTCACTGTGCAAACAGTTCACTTGGTAAAGTCCTTGTTGAACAGGAGAACGACTTCAGTCACAGGTCGCAAGAACAGTCTCGGTTCTCCATTACGGATGATCCTGACCTCAATCTTCCTGACCTTGCCGTCTTCGCTGGGAAAGGTCTTGGTGATCAACCCGGTGGGCCAGTCATTCCTCTTCACTTGGGTGTCTTTCAGGATGACAACATCTCCTTCTTGCAGGTTTGGTTTCTCTGTTTTGCACGTTCGTCGTGCTTGTAAGTTGCTTAGGTAGTCCCGCTTCCACCTTATCCAGAACATGTCAGCCAATCTCTGAACACGACGCCACTGACTTCTGAAAAGATCCTTGTTGTCGAAATCACCAGGAGGGACAGAGGGCGTACCAACCTTCTGCGTGAGGAGAGTCGCCGGGGTGAGAATGGACGGGTTGTCGGGATCTGTAGAAACGGGTGCAATGGGCCTTGCATTGATGATTGCAGTCACCTCTGCCATTAGGGTTGTCAGCACCTCATGGGTTAGCTTCCCTTGTCCTAGTTGGAGAAGCATGGCATCGAGAATGCGACGAGCAATGCCAATCATCCTTTCCCAGCTGCCGCCCATGTGCGAGGCATGTGGAGGATTGAACTGCCAGACACATCCCTTACCGGCAAGGAAGTGCTCAATCGGATCCTTCTGACGTCCTACTGAGTCGATGCCAAGCTCGTTGCAGGCACCAATGAAATTAGTGCCGCAATCAGACCTCAGTAGCTTAGCAGGTCCTCTCAAGGCCAGAAAGCGTCTAAGAGCATTCACGAAGCTGGAGGTGTCCATCGACTCTATTACTTCAATGTGCACAGCCCGCGTAGCCATGCAGGTAAAGATGACGGCCCATCGCTTGTTGTTAGCTTGACCTCCTCTTGTTTTCCGTGCTGTGACGGACCAGGGACCGAACACATCTAGGCCTACATAAGTGAAAGGTGGGTCGATGGTTAGGCGGTCTGCGGGCAAGTCTGCCATAATCTGATCTTGTTGCTTGCCTCTTAGTTTACGACAGGTTACACAGTGATAGATCATGCTGCTGATAACTCGCTTGCCACCAAGAACCCAGTAACCAGCTGCTCTCACAGCACCTTCGGTGAAGTGTCTGCCCTGATGGCGTACTTGGTCATGGTAGTGTCTGATGAGAAGGGTAGTGACATGGCATTTCCCATGGATTACTATTGGGTGTGTCTCGTCAAATGAAAGCTTGGCTTTCTCCAGCCGACCTCCAACACGGAGAAGACCGTCTTTGCCAAGAAACGGATGGAGCTTGATGAGTGGGCTTGACCTGGACACTGGCTGATCATTCTCAAGGCATCTGACCTCATCTGCATATGTCTCCATCTGAAGAAAACGGAGGATAGTTGCCTTTGCTTGGTTTTGCTGGTCTGGCCGTAGATGTACCTTACAAAGATGCCATCCACGACAGGTGCTGCCTTCGTCCTGAAGAAAGGATTGGGCAATATGTGAGAGTCTCGATATGGCATTGAGCAGGGACTTCCAAGTTGAGAAACGCTTGAAGCGGTCACAACCCAAGTTGGCATCAGTCACGGCCGTGGCACAGCTGGTCACCTGGGGTCTCACTTCTGCATCACTTTGGGGATCAATCAGATCGAAGGTCTCCTCATGTAGTTGCCCGTGACCAGCATCGGAGAGGAATGCAGGCCCACTGAGCCATGATGAAGAAGATAAGACACTCGCAGGTAGTGCCCTGGTGGCATGGTCAGCAGGGTTAAGGTCTGTCGGCACATAGTTCCACTGTGTTGCACGTGTGGAACGTTTGATGCGCTGCACTCGGTTGTGGATGTATACGTAAAACCTTCTTGTTTCATTGTAGATGTAGCCAAGTACTACCTTGCTATCAGTGAAGAAAGTGACTGCATCTGGTTGCATATCTAACTCGTCTTGCACTACCTCTGCGATATCCACAGCCATGACAGCTGCCCCAAGTTCCAAACGAGGGATAGTGGGTTCAGGCTTTGGAGCAAGCTTTGCCTTGCCGTGGATGAATCCTACTTCGCATTGGCCCGCTGCATTAGTGACTCTCAGGTAGGCAACAGCGCCGATTGCTTTGGTTGAGGCATCACAGAAAATGCATATCTCTCGTTTCTTTGCTTGAGACAACGGAAGGGTTGTGTACATCCTGGGGATCTTGAGCTCCTGAAGATCTTGAAGGGAATCCCTCCATCTCATCCATTCCACGTACTTCTCTTCGGGGAGGGGCGTGTCCCAGTCACAGGCATCACAGCTGAGTTCCCGCAGGATGAAGCGCCCTTGAATAGTTACAGGTGCAGCAAATCCAAGGGGATCGAACAAGCTGTTGATGGTGGACAATACCCTGCGTCTGGTGAATGGCTTACTGCTGGTTGTCACTTTGAAAGTGAACGTGTCTGCGGATAAGTCCCACTGAAGGCCTAAGCTTCGCTGCATCGGAGGGGGGTCCTGTCCGAGGTCTAAGGTCTGGAGCCCTTTGGCAAGGTCTTCACCAGGGAAGGCTTTCATGACGTCTGAGTTGTTGGATGCGATTTTGTGAAGCCGAAGGTTGGACTGGGATAGCATGTCTTGTGTTCTCTTGAGCACATCAACAGCTTCGCTTACTTTAGGGAACGACTTTAGCCCATCGTCGACATAGAAATGTCGTTCAACGAAACATCTTGCATCGTCTCCGAACTCCTTCTCTCCCTCAGTGGCAGTTCTCTTGAGTCCGTAGATTGCTACAGCTGGTGACGGGCAATTGCCGAACACATGGACCCTCATGCGGAAGTCAAGTACTTCTCCATTGAGGTCGTGGTCCTTGAACCAAAGGAAGCGGAGATAGTCACGGTGCTCCTCCTTGAACAGAAAGCTGTGAAACATCTGCTGTATATCAGCCATAACAGCTATGGGTTCAGGCCGAAAGCGGATGAGGACACCCAGCAGGCTGTTGTTGAGATCTGGACCTCTGAGCAGTACATCGTTGAGAGATATGTTGTCATGTTTGGAGCTGGAGTCGAACACGATCCTTATTTGTCCCGGCTTTTGGGGGTGATAAACACCGAAGCTTGGTAGGTACCAACATTCTTGGTCTGGCTTGAGTGGGGAGCTAGCTCTGCATTGCCGTTGGTAAAAATCTTCTTCATGAAGTCTAAGTAGTGGTCCTTCATCTCGGGTTTCTTCAGTAACATCCGACGAAGAGACATGAGGCGGTTCACGACTTGTTGTCGGTTATCGGGTAGACGCCGTCGAGGACAACGAAATGGGAGCGGGGCCACCCAGCTGTTACCATCATCCTTGACAAATGCATCATTCATGATGGAGAGGAAGATCTCGTCTTCAACCGATAATGCCTTTTTGTAGTCTTCTGGACTTTCCCTGAAGATGTCAGAACTGATGTTGTTTGGTTGGCACATCTCTGAAGCATGCCATGGGGTCTTGTTAGTGAATGTCTCCTTCACATGGATCCTGCTTTCGCATGGCGTCAGATAACTGGGGCGTCCGTTGTCAAGAATGCTGGTCTTGTTGGCGTTGACAGCAGGTTTGTGTGCTCCGCCGAGGCACACATCCCCCACTATCACCCAGCCTAAGACCAGGCGTTGAGCATACGGTGCGTTGTGAGGTCCATTACACTGACTAAGAACCTTGTGGACCTGTATGATGTCCCTGCCTAGCAACAGGACGATTTCAGCTGAGGGATCGAGTGGTGGGATCTTGTGGGCGATGGTCTCCAGATGAGGATGATGCTTTGCGGCTTCGGGAGTTGGAATTTCGTCTCGGTTGTTTGGGATGAAGTCACACTCGATGGGTGGCGGCAATGACAGCTGGACTTCGCCATCTACTGATTGAATTGTGAAGCCACTTGCTCTTCTTCCCTGTGCGCCTGTTGTGCCTGAACAGGTGCGTAGTATGTAGGGGGAGATGTCTCCGCAGATACCAAATATGTTAAAGAAGGTTGATCTGGCAAGTGAGTGATTACTTTGGTCGTCCAACATCACATACACCTTCCTCATCTGTTCAGGTTGCCCTTCTGGAAACACATTGGCCAGGCATATCTTGGAGCATGATTTTCCCTGCATTCCTTCTCCACAGACCTCCGTGCAGTTTGGGGCAGCCACAGTCGGTTCTGTACCGACTTGCTCCCCGCCATGATTTTCTGCAGATGAGGGATCCTTCGTTGTCCATGGGGGTGGCCCAGCATGAAGAGCGGACACATGACAGTCACTGCCGCACTCTGAACAGCGAATATCGACCTTGCAATCTTTGGCCTGGTGGGCAGTAGACGCACAGCATCTATAGCATATAGCATGTTCTTTCAAGAATGCCTTTCTCTCTTCTAGTGGTTGTCTTCGGAACCATCGACATTTTCTGAGGGAGTGGGGCTTCTTGTGAATAGGACACTGCTTATCTGGTTCCATCTGCTTATTGGAGTCAGATGATGGGGTCGCTGGTGTTCCCACTACAGTCTTGTGCACAGTGATTGAGGACTTGGGCTTGAACCGGTTTGGTGAGGGCTTCTCAGCAGCAATGGTTGTCGCATTGGAGGGTTGGAGCACAAAGCTTGGATCAGTTCGCATCTCAGCCTGTGAGTACACGAAGTTGACGAAGAAAGAAAAGGGTGGGAACGGCACCCGATGTGTCTTCTTGTACGTCGAGCCTTGTGTCAGCCACTTCTCTTGAAGATAGTGAGGGAGCTTCTCTACAATCGGATTTGTCCCTCTAGCAGTGTCCAAGTAGCTAAGACCTGGTAGCTTGTCTTCAAGCTTTGCTGCCTTCACTTCTGCGAGAAGATCTGCAAGCTCCTGTAGTCTCAGATAGTCTCTGTTTCCAATCTTAGGAAATTTCTCCAAACGCGAGAAGAGAGACGTCTCGATGGCTTCTGGAGATCCATATTTCTTATCCAACCTTTGCCATACCATGTCAAGGCCTGCCGATGGATTGTTTATGTGGACCGCTCTGATTCTCATAGCGTGCTGCTGTGACTCTCCACCAAGCCACTTGGTAAGTAGATCCAGTTTCTCACTGGGTTTGAAGTTTAGTCCTCGTGTGACATTGCGGTAACTGGCTTTCCAAGACAAGTAATTCTCTGGCCGGTTGTCAAAAACCTTGAGTCCGGCGGAGAGGAGGTCTCGACGAGCGAGGTGTGCTGTGAGATCAGAGATGTCTGAAAGTCTGGGGAGGTTCCTGTTTGGTCCACTGTTGTAACCGTACATGTTGTGATGATCGGCCACATCAGTACACGTATAGTGCGGGGTGTGTGAAAGGGGAGTTGACATGGTAGGTATAGGGGGTGCAGCTTGCCAGGTTAGAGGATTCTGCGGGAGTCGTGGAGGTAAGGGGTCTTGCGAGTCGACAGCGACAGTTTGTAGATGTGAGTTCCCATTATCAATGGGGTTGTCCTTTTGGTCAACTTGGGTGGTGCGTTGATCTTCGTGATCAAAATGTGTCTTCACGTACTCTTCTGTACGTTGCATGGCTTCAGGTTGAAGAACAGGGGGACTTGCAGTGCTTGCTCTGTCCTTAGCTGCTTCAGTGTCTGCAGCTTCCTCTAGTACTTTAGCAGCAGCTAATGCAGATTGAGCTTCGCCCTCTTCCTGCATAGCGACAAGCATGGCGTCAAGCCGTGCCCGTTCCACCTTCATCTCAATCTGACGTCTGGTGTAGTCAGCTCTTGTGCGTGCGGCCTCTGCTGCAGCACGGGCCTCTGCTGCAGCCAAGCTGACATTGGACTGGACCGAGTGTCGTGAAGATAAAGATGGCGGTCCACGGGACCTTGGAGGCGCCGACATTGTGGAACAATGTTGCAGCAGGATACCAGTTAATGTAGATCCTCTTGGGTTGTAGCGTTAATCTTTTCACTCTTCTGCCCTCACTGCACGTGTATGTGCGCAGCTATGCAGAGGCTAAACACTCTCCCAATGAGCCAAAAATGGACTGTAGTGGAGTCGGCAAATTAGCTGTTTATTGGAAGCGGTGTGAAACTGCAATTTAAATCATACAGAACACATTTTGAGTTAAAACAATAAAGTACAGAAGATTAATGGAGTATTAATTAGTGTGAGGTGATTACATGAACTATCTTAATTGACCACTAATGAAAGAGACGAAAATACAGGAAATGGCCCAAGGACTATGACAAGTCTACCCCAAGAATCCAAAATCTGAGAATTAACTGGCTGGAAATACCCCATTAAATAACAGAGAAATTACAATAAAGATTTCAGACATGTAAAAGTAGACAAATCCCCCAAATTGACATGAAAGCAAGATGAGAAGGAAAAACAGAGCCCTCAAAATGTCCACAAAAACCCCTACAAAATGTACATGCGACCGAACACGTTTATGTACACGTGTCCGTAAATAAACGACACTAAATTTAAGAAATAGCCCCCAAAAACCCACAAAACAGTGATCAAACTAGTAAAGCTTATACATTACATGATCAGAGAAAGATTACTTACAGATTGTGCTGATTAAGGGGATTGGATTACTGGTGAAACCTGTCGAAATTACTGATTTTCTAGAGCACGATTGTGATAAATAACTGATCAAAATGATGGCATGAAAAAATACGCATAAACGGCAGAGGGCGCTAAACACATTTTGGAAAGGCTGCCGAAGGCAGAACAGGTGTCAATATATGTGTGCGATGTCCCTTTAAAGCTACCATATTCTACCTATTTCGATAATGCACACAATGTTGTTCAGCTTCCTCCAAAGGATTCCCGGTCACTTTCATTAACCATTATCTTACAAATTCCCTGGAACGACCATGAAATTTCGTGTTATGCATTAATGTTAGTGTCTGTACGATTTAAACGTTCATCAGTATGTACATTGGAATACAATTTTAAAATAATCATCATGGTAAATAACCGTTTTTCTAACTGAAGAAATGAAGCATTGGAAACATTTTTAATCGTAACGTTCTCCTTGCCACAAACGAAATGGTATTACAAAAGCAATATAATGAATGACAAGCAAATAGGAATACCCTCATTATTACAGTCCACTAAAAACGAAATTGTTTAGTGCAAAGGTGGAATTGAAATTTACATTGAAGATGTTGAGGAACGAAATTAAAGTGTCTTTTCACCGAATGTATTAACTGGGGAAACGTATAATGTACCTCATTGTCTTGTTTATGGATTCCTTCCAGTCCCTGGGGACCCTCATCCGTGGTGGATTGTCGATTTAGATGGGGAACACTGCTTGGGCAGAGTTACTGTCACACTTCGGACAGGATGCTGCGGTAAGTTCCGACGAAAGACCCGACCGACCTTCCAACCGCCCTTCGGACCTAAATAACAACTGACTACTGACCAAACAACAGGTAGACCGACCGACCACCGGCCACCGACCTTCCGACCGACGACCAACGGACATGCTTGTGAACGTGACCACGAACCAACCGACCAGCGCCGTCGGCGCTGTTGTCGTTTGTTGTTTGCTTGTCGTTCATAAGTAAATTCCTTTCCCCTAATCAGGCCAGCACCGCTTCACCGGCGCATTAGTCCGGGCAGGACTGAACATGAATGTGACCAATGATCCAAACCCACCATGCGGCTCCCCAGCCTTCAGGAATCAGTCCTCGGACGGGGCAACCAACACATTCCTGTGCGATCCGCCGCGAATGGCCCGCTATGTTAGCCTGGATATAAACATCTCTCGTCCAGGTGTGACGGCCAGCCAGGCTTATCTGCAACTGGCAGAGGTCCGTTTGGAGGAATACACGTCTGGAGAGTGTGATGCGCCGAAAATCGGCAAGTCCGGAGGGAAAGGTGTATCCACTTTTTGGTGGGACTATATTTTTAATCAGTTACTTCATCACTTCAATACTCTGTGCCTGTAGAAAACCCCTTTTCACAACTGTTTTTTTTTCACGAGCACCCTTTTTTAACCAGTGCATTTTGGGGGGAAATGTCGCGTGAACGTTAATGGAGGCCGGGTGGCCAGTGAACAAAAATGTCCAGCTTTCAGCAAGGATGAGGCGAGTGCCCTTTTTTAACGTCTAAACCACATTCCTTACAAAAATGCCCTTGCCACGCCACTGAACTGGGGGAACTTAATGAACGTTATTGACAACAAAAAGCTGACTTTTGCCTTTCCCCAGATGCTGAGTTAGCAGGGAAAGGGAAGACCAAGATGCACTTTGACCTCAAGCAGGAGAGGGCGTGCCTCTGATAGTTTATGCCACTCATTTAAAGATATATATAAATATATTTTAAGTTATAGATTTTCAGATGCGAGGAAAAGGGCACCTACATTAATTCATTTGATCTCAAATTGGTTCCTGAGTATGCCAACACGCTAACAAACTTTGTCTCTCCTGATTCCATTGTGTAAGAATTGGGGGAAAAAAGTTATCAATGTTATCAATGTAGATCTGGTGGCGATTTCCAACTCACATGTTGTTGGGTTGGGTGCCAAAATAAGGAGGCCAGTCCAGAGCAAGTTGAAAACAACTTCAACCACCTTAACATAGCCTTCCCCTTGTTTGTTGGCCTTTCAGGATCAATGCCCAAGTTTGGCAACTTCGTTCGTCTACACGAGGGAGTCTCGGTGAGAAGTTCAGCCCCGTTGTCCATCAAACGGTTCACATCGCTGCTTCGCTGTGCCGCGAGCTGCACCAGGTATACCGGCTGCGTTTCCTTCGACTTCGTGTCGGGCACCAGCGAGTGTCGTCTGCACGGTGAAAATCCAACAGAGATGGAGCTGGCGACCAATGGTCACTTTGCAGTCTATTCTTTGGTGTAAAAAAGTAAAATTGAGAGTAGCGCCTACTGTGAGCACAAGAGGGCGCTATTGCGGCATCATGTTAGCGGTACAGGTAGACGTAAATCCCATGCAGGTTACTGCAGGCTAAAGACAATTGCAGAATTAATGTTTTAGATTAAAATTAAGTTTCTAAATTTCCTCAATAAACGTGATACTTGCTCTGATTGTACCAAGACGACGGTGTCAATTACAGCGCACACATTAGCTAGAAATAATAGCCTATAGTAGACCAAAAAAATATTAGTCGGTCTCTGGTCAGCGCGCGCGTCGATTTTAATCATGCGCGTCAATCTTTTTTCCCCCAAAATGTTCCACGGTAGCTCCAATAGCGCCCTCTATTGCCGCACCTCCTCTTTTTACGAAAGAGCACCAAGGAATGGGAAATTGCACCAAGGTAAATGATCGAGAGCACCAAGGCAAATTATGGAGGACACCAATGTACATGAGGACACTAAATAGCAAAATAGTACCCCTCTATGTCTGTACAATCCAAGCTTGCAAAAAAAAAAAAAAAAAAGGCGCGTCCCCGCGTCAATTCCGGAACTTTGGTCTGACCAGAGACCGAATATTTTTTCTTTGTAGGCCTTATCGCTTACCAACATTTACATCAATAAACCCATTTTTCCGCAATGATCTTGAATCCTCATGTATTTTGCAAAAGTAACGATAAAAGGAGCTGTAGCTGCCGGTTTATATATCTTGCGCTAAATGCTCCAACCAATAGAGCGAAACTAAACGAAAATTAATGACTCGGTAGGAATTGCATGTGTATTGAGTTCGAATATACTTAAAGGGACATTCATAAATACCTTTATTCAGTTTACCCATTCCTATTGGTCGAGAGCCCGTCACGTGGCCGGTCTTAAAATGGATGATAAAGACATGGCTAGCTGGTCTTCAACACTTTTTCAGTGTCACATGAAATTTGGACTCCCAAAAATCCGGTGCCTTAATCCTCACGTAGGCATGCGCAACACTACCAGTGAGTCAGTATTTGTAAGAGCGCCGTGCGCCACCAAAAGAGGGCGCCCTTTTACCTAGCAACGACGTCCCATGGATCGACGGGACATTTCGCTGGTTGACGCGCACCGTTCCTTGTTTGTGACGCACGTACACCAGGGAATTTGTACTTTTGTACACGCAGTGGCCGCGCTTCGCGGCAAGTGAATTGCAGTCAGGTACCTCGCAACTTGTGGGTCTACATGTACAAGTCTATATTCCATGACGGAAATATTGTTAAAAATAATTCAATACTTTCTATCTCCCATTTTTTTAAATCAGGTTTACAAGTCTTGGTAGAGGTTAAGTCATATTTTTGTTCAAGGAAACAAGAGGCCTAAAGTAAAATATAAATTGCATCTTTAAATATCCGTTAGTAGTCATAGCTGAAACCAAGGATTGACCGTGGAGTACAGGATCCGAGTTCCTATAACAGATGAAACATCCAACATCGAAGCCCTGAAGGCCTGACATGATAGCATGTACAATCTTTTGCCATGAGTTCAGAACTGGATTTTAGCTTCGCGGGTTTTTTAGCAGCGGGGTTTATTATCCCTTCCTTCTCCATTCTTCAGATTTTACTTTGCCGGCAGCACCATTGGGTGGTTGTTTGTTGGGGGTTTTGGTTGTTTGTTGTTTGTTTTCGATGCCGTGCCGTTACTGAGGGGATAAATGAAACATGACAATATGAACGAATCTCATGACAACATTCACAACGCTTTAATTTCCCAAAATCACAAAACAAATACATAACACCACTCAGACAACTCTTTATTACTCAAATTAAGTACCTGTTTCCTTTTCCTGAATCCGTGGGCGGTTCTTGCTTTCAAAAATGGGGAAGGTGGGTGATATGAAAGGGGATTAAGTGTAGACGTTCCGAATGGCCCCGGTAGGTTGAAATAAACGATATTTTCTCCTTTACATTCCAAGGCAATTTGAGAAATTTTAGCATTCCATTTAGTATTAATGTCCCTAGTATCCTAACATGAGTCAGCGGCTGAATGGGGCG